TACACATATTAAAATATGAGGAATGGTTCTCAGAATTATTTTGGTCTAAAATTAGTTTTATGTGAACTTTTCTGCATTACATCACTACGTCACTTTGTAATGAGCCAGTTTTCTGCCTGATCACCAGACCGGGGAACTGGCCTGAATCCCATCAGCGTTTATTGTGACTGAAATTTTGATCAGACGATCGATTTTGCTTTGCAGTCAGTGGGTGTTGCTTCACTGACCCAAAGACTTTTAGCAGGCCTGATGCAGATTTTGGTCGGACATGGAGGCTTTTCTAGCTGCGTTTTATTTAATCATAAAATTTTGCACATTAAAATTACAGGAATAGATTTTCTTAATGGAAACACGGCAATTTAAAAAAACATATACCTATAAATATATATATTTTATTTATTTATTGATTTATTTTTTTAACAATTTTCTAACTTAACTTAGCAATAATTCAGTTAGCTTAAATAAAGTTCTACAACAAGTTAAGAAAACTATAATCTAAAACTGATTTTGGAGCATTTTAAATAGATTCAGAATTCCCAGTACTACAAATTGCTATTCTCTAAAGAATAATTCTTTTTCTGCACCTCTAGTGGATTATTGTTTTTCTTTTTTTCAAGAGTGTCAAACAATAGCAATGTTTGTTGAAAAACTTCTAGAAAATAACCTTTGCCAGATGTAACCACCAGGTTAGCAAATAGAAAGAACAGTCTCAGCTCCTGGTGTCAGTGAAACTAAGATAGAGAAGCCGGTCAGAAAACCGTCAGTCCAGCTGTGTACAACCTGCCAGACACAACTAGTCCTGATAAAGAACAAACAGAGGCACTCCTTCACCAAACCCCACACCTCCACTCTGTGTGCACCTTCAGAGTGTTTGCTTTTGAATAAGCAGCTCTTTCAGTTTGAGGCTAAATCCATTACAGAGAAGAATAATTCCAAACACACAAACATTTCTGGCTGAAATGATCACGAGAAAAAACTTTGTGACCTTTGAACCTCTTCTCAGTGCACACACCAACACAGTGTGTTTCCGCACTGCTTCATTATTCACTCAGTGATGGCTTCGGGTGTTACAGCCTGTTGTGGCTGAATTGTAGTAGGTGTTACATGCCTCTCTCCTCCTCAGATATGTAACAGACTGTGACACACACACACACACACACACACACACACACACACACACACCCACACATCCCGTCTCAGCAGTAGGTACAAGATTTGCATCACTCTTTGTTTGAAGATGTGTGCTGCAGTAAGTGAAGTTCAGCAAGTCAATTAGATGCAGGTTTAAGCATCCCCAGGTTTGTTTTTGTGTAAGAGATTTTTCTTATTTGTGAACCATTTACTATTAAATTAAAGACATCCAAAACTGCCCTTATTAAAAGATTAATACATTTTTGAATTATGAAACATTTTACAATTTTAATTTGTCAGCAAAACTTATACATTAATTAAATAGAATATAAAGGTCTACCTGTGTCAGCTGCCTGTGTTGTTCTGCCAAATATGATTGAATGTTAAATTGAGGTTGGGGGAAGCGCGGCCCCTAAATCAGTCTAAGGGTTGGAAATGACTCCCAGGCCGCACTTTGGACAAACCTGATGTAAGGTCCTAGTTTCAGTGATCTCTCTCTGTAAACTGTTTCCAGACAATTTCTACATTCAAGGAATGAACAGACTCACTGAGCAGTGAGCAGAATCCACTCAGGTTTTTAAGTCTGAGTATCTCTGACCTGTGACTGGCTCGTTGGAAATAGCTAAAATCCATCTTTTTTTCAATCACTGAATTAACTATATCTAAGCACCACCATCCACTAAACACTAAAAGTGTAAATGTGGCTATGAAGGTGAATAAAACTCTCCGCTTGCAGCCGTCCGTATCAATGAAGTGTTTAAAGTGCACACAGAGGAAGAACATCCAACACATTTGCTATTATAACCATTTTCCTCTATTTTCACTTGATCTAGTGTGTCAAAATACTTGCTGATTGAATATACAGGAATCACACCATACCAACCTCCTGTTTACAACACTCGCACTCAGAACAGTATTATGTGGCTAGCTCCTGGAATCACAGAAACATTTATGTCTTCACAGAACTCAAGAAGAACGCTAAAGAGCAGACCCCCACAAGAGGAGGGATTATCTGAAAAACCTCATGAATGTGGCTCCATATACCTCAGTTAGAATCCGTCTTCTGGAACCACTTCATAGTTTTCCAACCAGCCAGCCAGCAGCTATCTGCTGACCAGTTTAAAACTGCTTTCCAGCTGAAATAATGACATTCACAATGTCAACAACATAAGAGTTATACTTTTGGTATTCCTCAGCTAAAATAACTGAAGCGTACTACCTGAGCCACATGTCTGCAGTTAATATAAAAAGCAGCAATTAGCATGTGGAACATAGGAGACCTGCCAATCTTAAGAAACTGAACTGGTTCAGGAACTGGTACCCAGTCATCCACAGGAAGACTGGATGTGATGTTAGGCTTCAAAGACTGGTTCACCGTTAGTCCAAACTTGAACCAAAATGTGTTGAACAGAAACGGATCATGGCTGGAGATTAAATCAGTAACAATATATATTGTGATAGACATGTGATCAATACCAATAAGTAATAGATTATTCAATATTTGGTATATGAATAGGCGCTGAACTCAGACCAAGAACTAAACAGCATTCTGGAAGATTTAGGCAGAAGAAAGGCTTTGGCTAAGTGGTGCCCAAAGCGGGTCCTGGAGGGGCGGTGTCCTGCATGCTTCAGTTTTCTCCCTGGTTGCAGTAACAACCTTTTCAGCATGTCAATGTTCTTCTTGGGCCTCTAATGAGTCATCATTAGATGCCGGGCCTCCAGGACCTACTTTGGGCACCACTGCTTTAGTTGCTCAAAATCTCACAACCAGCTATGCCAGGTTGGTGGAATCAACCTGGCATACTAGGTAACCAACTGCTCCTTGGTTACCTAGCAACAACCTGTTGATCAGGTTCAAAGACTTAAATCAGAAAGTTAATAAATTGATATCGATTGAAATGAAATGCTTATATTACTATAAGTTCTTCAGCCATATCATCCAGCCCTAAGGTGACTCATGCAAAAGGAAATGACATCACCCTAACCAAACATGGACGCAACAGTTTGCTTTGTGAAGTCTCAATGTGCATTGTTCCGAAATCCCAAACTGTAAATACTACAAGCACACACTCAGAACCTGATCACATTTCTGTACAGAGCATCCTGTCTGTATACTCTGCACAGAAATGATGATTAAACCCTTTGTTTTATATTACCAATCTTCAACCAGTCTAAAAAAGGAAGTGATCCCAGTTCTCTTGGTTCTGCTTCAGAGAACTAAGAACCTCCTTTCCTCATTGTGCTAATATCTGCTATCCCCATCAACTCTGCTGATGTTACAACACAAGTCATCTGTTGAATATTCTCTCCTCTGCTGACGACCATTTAGAGGCTCAGCAGCCATTAGAAACAAGTTTCTTCTTCTTATCTCAGCTGCTTCCCTTAGGGTCACACCACAATAAATCGTCTGTCTCATGATCCCAATAACCCTCTGTATGTCCTGCTTTACCACATCCTCAAACCTTCTCCGCAGTTCATCACTCATCTCCACTGTCCCTGGTCAAAATACCCCGATTTTGCCTCTCTACACTTTATCTACAAACAGTTCCCTCTGATGTATTCACTTCTAATCATGTCTATGCTGGAAAGCTCTACAGGAATTCTCTGGATCGCCATCTCCAGGTTCTGTTTGTCTTGGTACTGTCTCCGTCTCTGAACCATACCACACTCATCTCCATCCACTCTGCATGAACTATTTTCAGTTCTACACTGGATAGTCATCCTTCATGGGGGAATCAACTACCTTCAATGCCTCTGGCGCATGTAGCTTCACTGTTCCACCTTTCTCCCTACTGACTCGTTGCTCTCCTCTTCAGAGCATGCCTTCAATCCTGACTCTTCCAGCTGCCTCGTGTTTTCACCAGAGATATCAAGGTCATCAGCAAATATAGAACATGAAGACTTCTGCAAGACCTTATTTATCCACCTGCCCATCATTTCAAAAAGGGGGTAAGAGTTGATCCCCAACATAATCCAATCACCACTCCTGCCTTCCTCACACCTCAACACCATCTCACTATTCTTGTGGATGTCCTGCATACTTCTGACTGCACCAAAGTTGTTTTCTTGGGAACTTCACTATTCTTTACCATCAACACTCTAAATATCTTTAGTGTTCTTAACCTAACTTCCACAATTTATCTCTACTGTTACTACAGATGCACTGATCTGATATCAATATCCTATTAATGTAAAGTTGGTTTTACCAGTTTGACCAACATGGAAAAACAACAGCTTGTGAAGCTACTGGTGTATTTAAGTGTGCTGGTGCAGAGTTAGCAAATGCATTTGTAATTCAGTACATTTATGCCAGTTTTAAAAAAATGTTTTTGGAAATTTAGACAACACTAAACCTCAGATATCAATATTGGTATCAGAAGTGAAAACAGTGGATCAGTGCATCCCTAGTAGTTACATGATCGCTTAAGAATCAGAACCAGAACTCTCCAAACTGTAGTTATTCTCTCACTCAAGGATTGTGTTAAAAAATCTAGTTTATAAGTCTCCATGCCTCTATTTTGATAGGTGTGTTTTTGCTCTTCATTCTCCTCACAGCTCCCCTCACGTCCTGATTTATTCACTTCTCTTCTGTTTTGCTCCCACATCAGCTGCTCCTCAGACGACACTATGTTCTTTCTATATCTCATACACCATCAGCCCTCTCAACGTAAACTGGCCAGGTAGTGTTAGTGAAACTTTGATGAATGTTATCCTGGATTCTTCCGACAATTGGATCAGAGCAGTGGAGACAGAAACTGGTGCAGGTCCCAGGAGGAAGTCCTCAACCAAGTCTGTTGACGCTTGCATAAAATGTGCAACAGTAGCAGCAGTGTGAAATCCACTGATCTGTGTGGAGTAATGCTGCTCACCTTTGGTCTGCAAAAGGCTCAGTACAGCTCCAGGAGCACTGATTCAGTCACCCTGCAGACACAGAGCAGAGGAGAGGTTTCAACTCTACAATCAAGTTTCTTTAAGACAGAAAGTGAAATATTCCATATGGAGATGGATATTTTAGTAGAAAATACAATTGCCATTTTTTACATCACAAAACATGGTTCATTCTTAATCCTTATGTTTATGACCATGCTCCCTGAATTACATGTGTGAGGTCAGACACTGATGTTGGATGAGGAACTTTGGCTCAGAACCTCCACTCTATACAAAAGGTGTTCCACTGGGTTGGGCTTGAGACTCAGTGCAGACCATTCAGTTTGGTCTAAGCTAAACTTGCTCATGTATTTATAGACCTTTGATCTGTGGAGCTCTGCTGAAATGTCTCCAAACTGTTTCCAAAGAATCAAGAGAATAAAATGATCCAAAATATCATGGCATGCTGAAATATAAAGAAAGAAGAAAATGAAAAACCACCCAATATAAAATCCATCCATCCATTTCCCTTGTCCCTCAGGAGTTGCTGGTGGCTATTTCCAACTGCGTTCCGGGTGAGAGGCGAGATACACCCTGGATAGGTCGCCAGTCTTTCGCAGGGCAACACAGAGACAGACAGGACAAACAACCATGGACTCACTTGCACCTAAGGACAATTTAGAGAGACCAATTAACTTGACAGTCATGTTTTTGGATTGTGGGAGGACGTGGGAGGAAGTGGAGGATGTTTTTGGACTGTGGGTTCTCTCCGGAGTACCTGGAGAGAACCCACCATGCAAATCCCATGCAGAAAGACTTCAGACTGGGAATCAAACCCAGGACCTTCTTGCTGCAATACAACAGTGCTGCCAACTACTAGCCAACTGTGCAGCCTCATAAAACCCTTTGCACCAAATTGTACACTTGACACAATGCAGTCAACCAAGTGTCATTCTCCTGCCAAACACCAAACCCAGAATCACCCATTTCCTCTTTATTATGATGATCAGTCAACTGTGAAATGACAGGAAATTTAACAACAGGATTTATTCTCACTGAATTCACTGTGCTGTTAAAACTGGCTTTGCTAATGTTTTAGAGGCAGTCAAAGGCCATGACAAGAACGCATGAATTCAAGGATTTAGACGAGGAAGTCATTACATTTGGTTACATCACAAAAAATGCCAGCAGCAATGTTTCCATTGACCAAATAATTGTGCAATTTGACATTTCGAAAAGAAATTCGAAAAGAAATAATATTAGCTACCACAACTATGCGGATGACACACAGCTCTACATTACGATGTCACCAGGTGACTCTGAACCCATCCAATCACTGAATAAATGCTTAGAACAGATAAATGTGTGGATGTGCCAAAACTTTCTCCAACTGAACAAAAATAAAACTGAAGTCATTATTTTGGACCTAAAGAGGAACGATCTAGAGTCAATGCACAGCTTCAGTTATTACAACTAAAAACTAGCGATCAGGCCCGAAACCTGGGAGTAGTGATGGACTCGGACTTGAACCTCCAGAGCCACATAAAGACAGTAACAAAATCGGCCTTCTATCACCTGAAGAATATCTCCAGGATTAGAGGACTAATGTCTCAGCCAGATCTAGAGAAACTCATCCATGCGTTTGTCTTTAGTCGCATTGATTATTGCAACAGCATCTTCACAGGCCTGTCCAACAAATCAATCAAACAGCTGCAACTGATCCAGAATGCTGCTGCTCGCGTTCTCACTAGAACCAGGAAAATAGAGCACATAACACCAGTTTTAAAGTCCCTCCACTGGCTCCCTGTAGCTCAAAGAATAGATTTTAAAATACTGCTGTTAGTTTACAAATCACTGAATGGTTTAGCACCACAATACATCAAAGATCTGCTGTTGTTGTATCAACCTTCCAGACCTCTCAGGTCTTCTGGTTCTGGTCTGCTCTGCATCCCCAGAACCAGAACCAAAAGAGGAGAAACAGCTTTCAGCATCTATGGACCAAAAATTTGGAACAAACTTCCAGAAAACTGTAAAACAGCGGAAACCCTGACTTCCTTCAAATCTCAAGTAAAAACGCACCTGTTTAGAGTTGCATTTGAAATGTAATATGTATGGATTTGATTTTGTGGATATGTATGTAATTTTTTTTTTTTTTCCTGTTGTGGGCAACGGGGCCCGGCGAATACCCGTGGTTAAACGGACGGCGGAGTCCGGCGGTAACAGGCGGTAACAGGCGCTTAAATTCCGTGTCAAAGGGAAGGGGGAAGAAAGGGAAAAGGGAGGGAAAAAAAAGAAGAAAAAAAAAAAACTTGGTATTTTATTCTATGTTGCATGCCTTTGTGTTTTGTGTTTATGATGTAAAGCACTTTGAAATGCCTTGTAGCTGAAATGTGCTATACAAATAAAATTTGATTGATTGATTGATTGAACAGAAACATAACAATTTTGACAAGAAAAAAAGTGTTTTATCAAATGTTTTGCCGCTAGGATGAGGTGGTTTGGCCGTATCAAAACTGATTTATTTTGGAAAACTGCAATGGAAACACTTTTTTCTCCTCACAAAGGTCACATGATTATCAACCCAATGACACAAACCATGAAAAAGAAGACAACAGCATGAAGGAGGAGGATAATGGTGTGCCATGTTTTATAATGACTTGTCACAAAGATAAAAAAAACTACAACTCTAACGCTGACTAGTTCCCAAGTCCCTGATTCCCACTGGAACAAAGAAGCCAAGAGTTTTTACCACAAATTTTATTGCCAAGTTGAACTCTAAACTTTAATAGGAAGCTACTAATGTTAGTACTTCAAAAGTTGAAACTGTTGAAACTTCAAAAGCATATTGATTGCAGGCCTGGCTTTTCACTGTACACAACCACTCTAACCTTAACCCTGACCAGTTTATTTAAAACCCTTAAATAGAAGCCAGAAGGCTGTAAGAGGCCGAGAGGCTACAACAAGGTGGAGATAAAACAAGAAAATATTCTAATGTGGTAACAAAGATGTTCAGAGACACGCAGCTGTCTATACTCTAAATATACTGTCAGTAGGTGGCACCAGCGTGTGTTCCTTTCATGGTGACCGAGCTGGATGTGTGTGACCTAAAAATAAGTGACAAGCCACAGCGTTGTGTTGCCGTAGTTTGCGTCTCCATTCCCCACAGTGTGCATTTCTGACCCACTCCTCTCTTTTGAAGCTGCTCTGCAGGCTTTACGCCTTCAGCTCTGGTCTTATTTCCTTCTACATCTGTATTCACTTGTTCAGCTGATGTCCAGCTTAATCACCATTGCTCTCCCTGTCACAGCTTCATCAACTGTAGGCCTCTCATTTAGGAATTCATAGAGAAAATGGCAAACTGTGTGAGAGATGCTGTAATTATGTGTTTTCCAGAATTTTGCAGGGAGCGTCTCTGCAAAACACAGCCCTTTCTCTGTGTGTGTGTGTGTGTGTGTGGGGGGGGGGGGGGGGGCGTGTGTGTGTGTGTGTGTGTGTGTGTGTGTGTGTGTGTGTGTGTGTGTGTGTGTGTGTGGGTGTGTGGGTGTGTGTGTGTGTGTGTGTGTGTGTGCGCCATGTTTTTCTGTCTACAGTTGTGGGGACCACTGTTCCTTGTGGGCACAATTCCTGGTTCTCATGAGGGGAAATGTGAGAAGAGGGTCAGGTTTAGGTAAAGTGTGAATTGAGCTTTGATTAGGGTGTAGTCCCTCCACAAACTAACCAGGTTGTGCAAATGCATAAAAATACAATCACTTCACATGACAGGGGAGAACACACACACATATGCACAGCCCTACATATACTAAGATAAAAATATTAGCAGCTCTCATGTGATTGGTAGCTCAAGGCTGAACTAACAATAACAACATTGTCATAGCAAATGTACCTCTCATGAGCACATCAGCAGCCTGGAGTGATTCTCACTGTCGCAGTGAAACTGAATTTTCGATAAGTAAGGAAGGGGAGCCTTCTTCATCCGTTAACGGGGTTACAGAGACCAACCGGACCACACACTGGCAAAAACTGAGGGATTCACTATATATGCTAATGTGTACCACATAGTGGTGCTCTCGAACACCTCAAAGTATGTAGTAGTTGTCCCAGGAAACTGATGGAACTGAAGTCATGTTCAGATATCAGGGCCTGGTTGTAGTTGGGCCTGATGCAGGCAACACCAAATACTGGTTTCTGTGGCTCAGCTGTGGTTTCAATTTCAGCATCCTTCCTTAAGCATGGCATTTAACATCAACCTCCATACTGATCTCCCTACTGAAGCATACATCTTTAGGAGTGTGTTTATTATTTTTCACTGAAAATAAATGGAGATAAACTCTCACTGAGTGTTCTTATTGTCAAGTTCAGCTCAGTTCTACAGCAGATCACTGTGGCTTGTAAGTCATTATAACCTTTTGTTTAGTTATTATAACACAGCGTCATATTTCACAAATGCCAGATAACCAAACAACCATAAGATTTATTAAGATTCATTTGATTAGGTTGTATTAGACCAGGAATACATTTAATAGTTGCAGGACACTGACTGCCCTGAAGTTTGACCCCTGACCTCCAGGGAACCATGCTGGTTCAACTGCCACACAACAGATTCAGTTTCTATAGCAACGCAAATCCCACAAAGCCAGTTCATGGTGATGGACACTGCTGGACTGATGTGGCAATCAGTCCCCATCAGTTCCATCTCCCTTCAAAAATGAAAACGATGTGTCAGGATAACACTTCCTCATCCTGCTGTTGAAATTGATTACTTGACAGAAAAGTATGTGGAGGAATTGGTCAATTCTGTGGTTGACCATAATCTGGTGGTGTAATTCTTTGATTGAAATGTAGTAAGAATTCTCTGTAAGAATATGAATAAAATTTCAAGAATGTTTGAGTCTTTCTTAGTTTATCACTACATTAAAGGTCAATTTTTAATACAATTTGTGTGACATATTTTAAATGGTTAATAATTAATGCCCAGTTTTTCTCACATCTTCATATTTTCAGTAGATTACAGTCCATATAAGTTGCTAATAGTGTCGATATCCTATGTTTGATTT